CAATACAGAAGTCCCCACGCGCGCGCGCGTGAGGAGTTCTGTATTGTCCACAATAAAGAAACTGCCATGTAATTGCAAAAACTGAATTTGAAATTTCTGTGGGCCTTTGAGGAGGCCGACGGAAATGTCGACTTTTCTATTGTAAGCAATACAGAAGTCCCCACGCGCGTCCTCTCGTTTGTTCCGTCCGCGTCCGCGCCATTCTCTCTGGTCTTCTGCCATGGCGACAGTCGCTCTCCCGCGGAATGTGGTCTGCGCGTCCTCGTCGTTTGCGCCGTCCGCGTCCGCGCCCATGTTCTCTGGTCTCCTGCCATGGAGGCAGGTCGCTCTCCCGCGGGAGGGTGGTCTGCGCGTCCTCTCGTTTGCGCCGTCCGCGTCCGCGCCCATGTTCTCTGGTCTTCTGCCATGGCGAGAGGTCGCTTTCCCGCGGGAGGGTGGTCTGCGCGTCCTCTCGTTTGCGCCGTCCGCGTCCGCGCCCATGTTCTCTGGTCTTCTGCCATTGCGACAGGTCGCTCTCCCGCGGAGGGTGGTCTGCGCGTCCTCTCGTTTGCGCCGTCCGCGTCCGCGCCCATGTTCTCTGGTCTTCTGCCATGGCGACAGGTCGCGTGACCGCCCCCAGAGGGAGGTGGGCGCGCGCGGCGCATCATGATTTACTTTTCTGCGCGGTGGGCGGCGCGGCCTGTCGGACACCCTTGGTGTCCTGTCCGACGTTGGCCCCCCGTCGCGGGGGCGCGGGTCGGCCGCGGGTGACCGCGGTCGCGGCCCCGAGAGGGTGCCCTTGTGTCCTGTGGTTCTGGGAGGTCATGTTGCCGTCGGAAGAGTCTTGTGTCCTGTCGCGTGTCCTGTGCAATGGACTCTGCCTGTAGTCCGATTTGCGCAAAGTCCCCGCTCGCCCCCGTCCTGTAGATTTTTGCGAAATCCCCGCCGTCTCCAATATGTGCAAAATCCCCCCCCATCGCCCCCCCCTCGCCGTCCTTCTTATTTTTGCAAAAAGCCCCCCCCCGCCCGCCCCCCTTTCCCCCCCCCTTTCCCGTCCTTCCAGTTTTTGCAGAGCCCCCCCCTTTCCCGCCCCCGTCCTTCAGATTCCCCCCCCCCCCCCCCCCCCCCGGCTTTTCGATTTAACGACGCCCCCCCTCCCCCCCCCCGCCCCTTCGCGATCGTTTCCCCCCCTACTTCCCCCCCCCCTCCCCTCCGCCGATTGCGGAGCGGGCCTTTCCGTATTATATTTCGGTGCGAACCTTGGCGGCACATCAGGCGTGTGCGCCTTGGCACCCCGTGCCCCCCCCCCTCCCAGGCGGGCGAGCGGGCGGCTGCGGCGGGCAAGCGGTTGCGCATGTTGCGCCGGGGTGATTGGTCGAGGGCGCGGGGCCTTTCGGGGCGGTGACGCCGCCCGATGGCCGACCCCGAGCATGCCCGACGTGGAAGCGCAGAGGCGGGCAGCGAGCGATTGCAAGGCGCGCCGCGGATACCGGCGGGCGCCGTGGGCGAGCGGCAGGGGGCGATAAGGGAGATGGTTGAGCTTGGCTTGCGGCCGACAGGGCCTGATGGCGCGCGGGCTTGGCAGCGCGCGGGAAAGCGGCGGTGGGCCGCCGGGGGGGAGCGGGGCAGCGGCGGGCGGGGCGTTGCGAACGGGAAGGGGGGGGGGGCACATGCGGGAGGGGGAAGGAGGCGGGGGGGGTTCTAGTTTGGTTTTGCCCTGCCAATGCAATCCATATTCCGATCGGACGCTCCTCCCGCTCTACTTTCGCCATTCTTCGCCGACGGGCCCTGATTGCAATTGCCATGCTGGAAGACATCGTTGACGCGCCGCGGCGCAGCATCCCACAGCGTTGCCCCGCTGCCTGGGAAGCGTCGGGTTGCTTGTCGGCCCACAAGGCCTACGTCGCGATCGCGCGAGCCCAGGGCCGCAGTGCGTCTGCCCAACCCCGTCCCTTGTTCCAACAGGTTTGTGCACTTCTGCCATGCCCTCTGCAACCCCCACTACATCAGTTCCCAAAGCAATTCTGCGTCGGGGCCCTCGGTCTGAAGCGACGGCGCCACGCGTCACCTTACTTCCCGCCCTCCCCCCCCCCCCAATCATCCCGCCCCTGTCCTGCGCTCCGTGCGTCAATGTCGGCGCACCCCTCCACGCGCTTCGTGGCCGCGTAGGGAATTGCATGCGAGTTCCCAGTGGCGACGTCTGCATGCGTCCGCGCCGCCCATTACGGCGCACCCATCACGCGCTTCATGGCCCCGTACGGATCCCCACGTAAAGCCCCCGCGGCGACGTTGACATACGTCGGCGCCACCCATGGCGACGCGCCCCTCGCGCGGTCCGCAGCCCCATGGGGGGCTCCGCCAAATCCACCCAGTGGCGACGTCCACATGCGTCCGCGCCGCCCGCAACGGCGCGCCCCTCAAACGTTTCGTGCCGTCATGGGGAGCTCCACCCAAGACCGCAGTGGCGATGTTACATGCGCCAACGCTCCATAGGGTGCTCCACCGAAGGCCTCAGCGGCGGCGTTTACATGCGCCCGCGCAGCCCATGACAGCGCACCCGCGCGCCGTTCGTGGCCACGCAGCGAGCTCCCTGTACGGCACCACCGGCGATGTTTGCATGCGCTTGCGCCGCCCATGACGGCGCGCCTGTCACAGTGTTCATGGCCCCAAAGCGAGCGCCGCCGAAGGCCCCAATGGCGACGTGCACATGCGCCCGCGCCATTCATTACGGCGCACACTTCGCGCGGTCCGCGGCCCCATAGGGAGGCCCACGCAAGGCCCCAGCGCCGACGTATGCACGCGCCCGCGCCCCCAAGAAGGGCACACCGCTCACGCGGTTCGTGGCCGCGTAGGGAGCTCCGCCTATAGCTCCACTGGCGACCTCTGCGTGCACCCGCGCCACGCATCACGGCGCACCGCTAACGCGTCCCGTGGCCCCACGGGGGGCCTCGCTTGAAGCCCCGACGGCGACGTTTACGCGCGCCCGCGTCGCCCGTTACGACGCGCCCCTCAGACGGCTCGTGGCCCATGAGGAGCCCCATCTAAGGCCCAAGTGACGACGTTAGCATGCCCCCCCCCCTTCCCGCCCCCTCCCCCCACACCCTCCCATTCACTCCGCCCGCCCACCCACCGCGACCACCAGCATCAACACACACACACACACACGCACGCACACACACGCGCACACACACGCACATACCACCACCACCACCACCACCATCGCCACCACCACCACCACCACCACCCACCACCACCAGCACCACACTTATACACACCACACACACCCACACACACACACAGACACGCGCACGCACGCACACACACACACACACCAACACACACAGACACACACACACACACACGCATTGTGGCGCACCCCGCGCGCGCTTCGTAGCCGCATGTGGAGCTGAAAGGGACGCGCCAGTGACACTTGCCGATGCGTTGCCCCGTAGGAGGTTTCACCGAGGAGGGTGTTCACAAATGCTGCGCTCCCAATTGCACATGGTATGGCTTTTCGTCACGATGAGTATATACCAGCTCTACGTCGTCCTACTACCACATGCCACACACTGGTTTCACATGACTCCTTCCTGTTCTGGAGTACTCGTCGGTGCTCATGTGGGTTTCGCGCTTCGTTGCTCAGGAGCCAGTCGTACTCGATTCACCTTCCGCATTACTGGAACAAACTTGCTCGACGCATGCACTAACTCTCGTGTTTTCTCTGGTCTATTCCTCCCCTATGGAGATTACGTCCAGTCTGCTGCTCTGTGACGCGTATCGGTACCCTGCTTTATTTCTATAATGTGCATACTCTAGCGGTGATGCGCGCGTTGTCTACTCCTCTCTTACTTAGGGAGGGGGAATAAGGAGGTGCCCGCGCCCATGTCATTGCTGTTTTGTTTTGTTTTTCGCATCCAACGAAATGTTCAGGATTGTGGCCTCACACAAAGTTCAAAATCTCACGGACGTGCCTGAGCCACATGCAGCCTCGATGGGCGACGTTGCCGCAGTTGCTTGCTGCGACATGAGGCGGGCGTGGTTCCCACGCGCCACTCCAGCCATGCCGACCGTCGGCGCCGTCCTTCCCCTACTCTTCTAATGTCCCTCTGGCACATCATCATTCTCAATCGTATCCTCCCTGGTTCGATCCCGCCTCACATGTCTTCGGATCTCTCACATCGCCCGCCCCCATTCATCAGCATCATATTTTCCAGCCTTCCCCATCGTGAACAAAAAACACCAAGTAAAATTTTACTTGATTTTTCAATTCGTATGTAATTCAATTCTGTAGTCGTTGAGCTATATGAGCGGTCAGCTGCCCGGCGCGAGGCCTGGCTTTATCGCGAGGGCGAACCGATTCAGCATTATGAGAGTTGGAAGGCGCGTAAACGGCTCAGCACTTCAGACTACGGGGTGTCCGAGCAGCGCGCCCTCAGCATGGCGCTCGAAGATCTGGCGACGATCGACGAGGTCAATGCGGCGAACCTCGTCGGAGAGGAACGGCTGGTCAGGAAGATGCAGCTGATTGAGCCCTCTCCAGGGGGAGAAGCAGAGGGACCGAGCAGCACTCGGCCCAGCAGAGGCTGCCGCAGGAGGAGATCAGCGCATGCATGGACGGGGGCGGCTTCCAGCCGCCCGAGCAGCATGGTCTGCCCCGCCCTGCCGGGCGCAGTTGGGGAGGGGCTCGAGCGCGCCAGCCAGCTCAAGAAGAACGCCCGCAAGTTGCGGGAGGAAGCGAAAGCTGCCTCCAGGGCCAAGGCTGTGGGCGGGAAGTCATGATGTCATCGTGCCTGGGGAGGTCTCCTGGCCCGGCTGGGCCTTCCTCGGCGGCCGCCTGCGACGTCGGGGACGCGAGCGACAGGCGCGGCGGCGTGGGCGCGGAGCGGCAGCGGGACACCCCCCCTCTGCCCGTGCCCGCTGCTGCTGACCCTGGCGGGCTGACTGGTGGGAGCTCGCGCTGCGCGCGGAGACGGGCGCGGCGGGCGGCCTCTGCGCCATGGCTCGCCAGGCTGGCGGTGGAGTCGCTCAGCGGCTTCAGCGGCCCAGGGGTCGGCGGCGGCTCTGGGCTGCACGGCGACGCGACCCCGGCGCGGCAGCGCTGCCTGGCGCGGGTTGCCGAGTCCGTCTCGCAGCTGGCCCCCCCGCCGGGCGACCTTGTTTTGGCGGCCCTGCAGGAGCTCCAGGTTGCTCTATCTCGCGACGGCTCGCTGTCGACCAAGACGGAGGCGATGGGCGTTTCCCGGCTTTCGCTGCCGCCTTCAGGAAACCGCCCCGCGGCGCTCGAGCAGCCGCTGGAGTCCGAGGCGCATGATTCTGCCGATCGTGATATGTCAAGCATGGTTTTGCCGGGTGCCGAAGTTTTGCAGCAGAAATTGGATATTGGCATCAATGGGGCCCTACATCTGGGCCCTTTTCTTCGTGGCCGCCGCTGGCTCGCAGCCGCGGTCTCGCGTCTGCTCGACGCTGGGGCCGTCGATCTTGTCAGAGACCCCAGCGAGGTGATCGACGAGGTGGGCCTCTGCAGCGCGGCGCCGACCACGGGCGGCGGCAGTTTCGGCCGCTGTGGCCGCGACTCGTGGTGCTGCCCATGGGGTGAACCCACGCGCTGGCCGTCTGTCAGCGGGCGTCGCAGTCGGCGGCCGATCGGGCGGGGCTGCTGCCGTCGACGGGGATTGTGGATCGCCAGACCTGCGCGGGCTCGGCGGCGGAAGCGCACCTTGAGCACGTCGACAACTTCGCCTCGCTCTCGCTGGGCCGCGACACCGCCGCGCGGATGAAGGGCGACGTGGTCGCAGAGCTGCGCGAGGAGGAGGGGGCTCCGCCCTCCGCGCGCAGCTGCTGAACAGGGTGGTCGACCGCGCGAAGGGCACTGTCTCTCCGGCGCCACGGAGAGCCTGGCGCCTGATCCCCGCCGCGCGGGCGTTGTTGGCCCCGCCGAAGGTCTCGGCCCAGCAGGTGATGCAGGCAGTACCAGCGCTTTCCTCCTCATGGCGAGGCAGCCGCCCCTGCCGATCTTCTCGGCCGTGCGCCGCCTCATCGCCGAGGCGGAGGGGCTCCGCGCGAGGGGTGGCACAGCGTGGCACAGCGTGCGTTGGGCGTCGCGCCATTTGCCCAGGCGGACTTGCGCGCGGAGTGGCTGGGCCCAGTGGCGTGCGCGGGCGCCTCCGAGCGGGGCCGAGGGGCGCGCGAGCGCGACATTGGAAAATAATGCGACACAGGAGCTCGGGGGGGCCAGGAGCGCTGGCGTTTCCGAGATCCGACTGCTAGAGGCCTCAGGGGGCAGCTCATCGCCACTTTGGAGCCCGTCGTTAGCCCCGCCGACGTCGAGCCGCCGGCGAAACCCCTGGCCCCTGCAAACTCGTCGGCTTCGACGAAACCCATCGTCGACGTGGAGATCGGCAGCGAATCGGTCTAACCTCGAAAGCCATGGCATCTTGTCGTCGTTGAGCCCGTCGACCTCGAGTCGGCCCGTGTACCTCGACAGCGGCAGCCGCCTACTACCTTCGAGCCTCTGGAGGTGGAGTACGTCTCGGGCGAGTGGGTTGATTTCCAGCGGGGCCTGGGAGCGGGGGTGGCGCGTTGCAGCTTGGGAGGGAAGGGCGCTCGTCCACGCGCTGCAACGCGTTCTTCGAGATTCCAAACAGCATGGCCATCGTGTCCTGTTCCTTTCCGACAGTCTCGTCGCCGTCCTGGCCCCCTCGAAGGGCCGCTCCTCGCGGCCGAGGATGGCCCGCGTCTGCCGTCAGAGGGCCGCCCTCGCCGCCCTCGCCGCGGCGGGCGGCGTCTGCGCGGCCCGTCGGATTGGCGCTCGGCCCCAGTGGGATGCAGTCGCCACCCTGGCCGCGGCCCGGGGGTTCCCGGGCGGGGCATCGGCGCCCGTGGCGACTGGTCGCGGCCGGAGGGCAAAGGCGGCAGAGGCGGCGGCCAGGCGCGCCGGGAGGGCTGCGACGCGGGCGCCCGAGGCGGCAGCCCTGCGGGCCTCAGCAGGCCACGTGCTGGGGGCTCTCTCGGCCACCGAGACCACGAGGGTCAAGTCCTGGGCCTGCGGGGGGAGTCTTTGCCTGGATGGCGACCGCGACCGCGCCGCTGCAGACCGAGACGGCCGACGACCTGTTGTCCCAGTGGATGGATCAGCAGCGCGCCGAGGGTTGGATACCCAGGCGGGGCGCCTGCGCGCTGGCCGCGCTGAAGTTCATGATGCCGCGCAGTTCTCGCGCAGGGGGCTCGGGCCGCCGCGGGCGCGGCCGGCCCTGCGGGTTCGGCGGAGGCGTGCGCCCGCCCGCGCCAGGCTGCCGCTGCCGTGGGAGATCGCGGCGCTCGTCGCGGCGAAGCTGGCGGACATCGGCCAGCTGCGGGCCGCGATCTACGCGCTGGCGTCCTTCGCGGGCCACCGAGGGCAGTCGGTGGCCCCCAGGGCGTCGGGGGCGCGCCTGGTTCCCCCGACGCCGGGAGGCGCGCGCGACGGATGGTCGCCGGCGCCCCGCCCGCGCGAGCTGGCGGTGCCAGGCATGACGCAGGTCTACGACGATGTGACCCCGTTCGACGCGCCGTGCCACAGCTTCCTGCCCGCCGCCTTCCGCTGGCTGATGGCGTCGATCCGCCCGAGCGCGCCGCTGTTCCCGCTGCCCCTCGCGGAGGCGAGCGCCCTATTCAAGCGGGCGGCGGAGGACGTCGGCGTCGCGAGTCTGACGCCGCAGCTGCACCAGCTCAGGCACTCAGGGCAGTCAATGCAGCTGGCCACGAAGTTGCGCGCGCTGGCCAGCGGGAAACTGCGCGGCCGCTGGAGGACCAACGCGTCGGCCGCCCCGTGCTTCAAGCCGGGGCGAATCAACTGGCAGTTGCAGAGGTTGGCGCCCGCCGTGCACCGCGCGGCCCTGCTGCCCCCCGCTCGGCTGTCCTCTCTCCTCAGCTGGCGCTGAGGAAGCAGCTGGGGCCGCGCCGAAGGCGATTCCTTGCGCCGCCCCCCATGGAGGTTTTCTCGGGCGCTGGCCGCTGCGCTGAGCGAGGAGGGCTCGCTCGTCATCGTGTGGGGCACCGCCTGGGGCCCCAGGTGGGACCTGACCGCTATCCGCCCCGAGGGTGGCGCGGCTGCTGCGGGGCCGGCTGGATGCAGGACTGATCTGGGGCCTGCATTATGGCGCGCCCTGCCAGACGTGGACCGGGATCAGGGGCACCGGCCTCTTGCGCGCGCCAGGCGGACCAGGCTCCTGGCCCAGCGGGCTGAGGTCCGACAGCGAGATCCGGGGCCTGGCGGCAGCGACGCGCCCTTTGGACAGAGCACAGATCACGCTGTCGAAGCGGCTTGTCAGATGTTGTGAGAACCTCTGGAACAGTTGTAGGCGCATGCGGGTACCTTTCGTTGTTGAGAACCCTGCTATGTCTAGATTTCGGCTGATTCCCTCGTCTCAGCGTCTTCGGAAGCAGCCGCATGTGTCTTGGGGTGTTACGCATTCGTGTCAGTGCAGAACGCCGTGGAAAAACAAACCGACTGGTCTCTTTGGGTTCCGTGTAGATGTCGAAGCGTTTGTTCGCCTGTGCGTTGGCTTTCGCACGTGTTGTAGCAAGACTGGCAAACTTCGTCATATATTGAAAGGAAGAGCTCCGGGAAGGGCCCGCGTGGACTCTAGTGGCGCAGCCCTACCCCAGACAGCTCGCCACTAGATGGGCGAGAGTGCTCACCAATGCCCGTTTGCAATCGAGTGCGTTTCGATGGCACCCGTCTGGCTGGGTTGCTGACTAGAGAGGAGTTGTTCTTTCTGGTTTAGTCCGGGATGTTTTGGCCGTGGGGCCGCGCGGCCGAGAACAATCCGGTTTATGCAATCATCTCTGCGTCTGGCCCCATTGAAGTCACAGTGCAGGCTCTCTGCTCATGAACACAATCCGGCTGGCCTCGGAGAAACCATTTGCGAGCATGTTCGTTTCGATTGAAGATGAGTCTTTTTAGAGGGGGATTAGAGGCCGAAGCTTGCTTTGCGTAGCCCGTAGCCTGCGGCTCTCGAGCTCCAACCCTCCCATCCCTGTCTCTCGCTGCAGAACTTTGCCGTGGCCGTGGGCCTCGCGGCAGTGAACTACTCGGCTTCTGTAATCATCTCTGCGTGTGGCCCCTTTGAAGTCACGGTGCAGCCTGCTCTTTGCTCATGAACGCAATCCGACGGACCTCGGAGAAACAATCCGCGGGCATGGATTTGACCATGCAGGTTATGTTCAGAATGAGGATGTTGGTGATGATGTGGATGATGGTGATGATGATGATGATGATGATGATGATGATGATGATGATGATGATGATGATGATGATGACGATGATGATGATGATGTTGAGGGCGACGATGATTATACATGATGATGTTGGTGATGTTGATGATAACCATGATGGCGTTGGCGATGACGATGATGAGTCTGCTGTTGATGGTGATGCTGATGGTGGCAATGATATCGATGATGTTTATAAGGCTGCTGGTGGTGAAGTTGTTGTTGGCGATGGTGATGATAACGATGACGACGTTCACGGTGCCGATGACAATGGGTTTGACGATGTTTGTGATGATTCGGGGGATGGCAATGCCGATGATGATATTCATGGTGCTGCTGATGGTGATGATGATAATGGTGATGATGGCGATTCTGATCATGATGCGAATGAGGAAGATGAGGACGAGGATGATGAGGATGATGATGTGACTCAATACTTGGTGTGGTTCAATACTTTGTATCGGAGCGCATTCCGACCGAGCGTGGCTCAATGGGAGCGGAGCCCGAGGAGGCAGTCATGACCATGACGGTGGCGCTTCAGAAGGCATGGCGCGAGCCTCCTTCTGTAATTACATCCTTTGTCGTATTGTTGCGTTTCCGTCTGACGGGAATTTCGACGGCGCCATTGGATCAGTCATTATTTGGGCTCCTTATGGCATTTCCAACCATCAGGTGTCCACATCGCCATCTCCAGGACTACCCCCGCTCCCCCGTCCTCCTCTCACTCTCCCCTGCTCCCTCTTCCCATTCCGCTCCCTTCTTAAGCTCGCCTTTTCTCTCCTCCGTCCTCTTCCCCCGCCCTTTCCCGCAAGCGATTTCTTGCCCTGAAGCGAGACGCTTCGAGGATGTGTCGAACGAAACGCTTGTTTTGCAGAACTCGAGCGGCCTGGGCGCCCCAGGATGCCCAGGTGGTTCTGGGTTCTGGGAGTCCGAACATGGCGTAATTTATTGAGGAACGTAGCCTTAAGAACCCCCGACTTCCCATTCAAATGTAAGACGCTCAGAGCAGGAGGAGACCTCAGGGAGGCACCCCCAGAGGGCAATTCGGACGCACCCCAAGTATCGAGGACGGACGCCCCCTATCGTAGATCCCCGAGTTGGGACCTACGTGTTCTGGTGCAGTTGAAGTCCCCACGACGTCACGGATACTCCAAACCGGACCCCCCTCCAGATGCGACCTGATATTCTGGACCTTCCTCTTCGACGGGGCGCCTTGATGAGTTGGACCCCCTAAGCTCCGATCCAAAGAAAGCGCCCTAATAAACCGGCCCCCCCCGGTGACAAAACAAATATTAAAAAAAAACGAATCCGGGGGACGATTAATACGGGATTTGGAGTAGGGTTCGACGCATCCCCTGTTATTCAATCGCTTCGCTCATTCCGCTGGCCCATGTTGCATGATCTCGACTGCTTCGCCGTGGGCCCAGGGCCATTGTGGCGCCGCCGAGGAGGAGGAAGATGAGGTTGGGGAAGGGGAGGGGAGGAGGAGGAGAGGATGAGAAGGAGAGGAGGAGAATGAAGGCAAGAAGGAGGAGGAGGAGGAGGAGGGGGAGGAGGAGGAGGAGGAGGAGGAAGAGGAGGAGGAGAAAGGGGAAGGGGCGGAGGAGAAAGCCTCTCGTTGGCATATTGTGTTGCTCTTGGGGCCAAACAGGGTCGACGTCGAGATGCTTCTTTGGGAGGCCTCTTGGGGTCTTTTGAGAAGCCGTTCAGGGGCTTCTGGGAGGCATTTTTGAACTTTTGGGGCCTCTTTTGGGCCTCCTGGGGGCCTCCTGGAGCCTCTTGGGGGCCTCCTGGCGGCATCTTGGGGCCTCTTGGGGGCCTCTTGGGGGCCTCTCGGGGCCTCCTGGGGCCCTCTTGGGGCGGAAGGCTCGAGTTTTCAGTTCGTGGTCCCCCTCTTGGACCCCTCTTGGGGCCGTCTTGGGGCCGTCTTGGGCCGTCTTGGGCGCCTCTTGGGCCGTCTCGGGGCCCTCTTGGGGCCCTCTTGGAAGCCTCTTGGCCCGTCTTGGGGCGCTCTTGGGGGCCTCTTGGGTCGTCTTGGAGCATCGGATGGCCGAAAAGGCGACAAGGCCAACATTCTTCCAAAACCATCGTGCAATTGATGATGTTGGCCTCTCGGGCCCTCTTGTGAGGCCTCTTGGAGGCCACTTGGAGGCCTCTTGGGCCATCTGGGGGTCATCATCGGCGTCTTGGAGCGCTCGTTGGGCTACTCGGGGGCCTCTTGGGCAGTCTTGGGGGCCTCTTGGGTCAGGAGGGGGGGTAGTCGATTGCGCCCCTCCCCTCGGCGGCCACGATCCTCGTGAGGGGTGTCAAAAAATTGCCCGGTCTGGCATCTCTGATCCGAGTGTCCCGGGGGTGTCCTGGGGGTGTCCCGGGGTACTTTTCTTTCGTCCGGGGACCCCCAGGGGCGGCCCCGCGCGCGCGAACTAGAAAATTGTTAACCAGTTACCGGAGATCTTAGCACGCCCTTGGCCTGTTGGGCCGGCGAATTTCCTCCCGCGCTGGCTCGGAGCACCTTGCATGGCCAGTTTCGATCCGATCGGTCCGATTCGACATCGATTCTGGCTGGCCCGATCCGAGGCGATTTCGATATTCTGACAATCCGATGCGGCCCGGTGCTTGCATGGCGCTGCTTTGCATCTTGGCGCCGCCGATCCGATTCGATTTCGATCCCGAGCCGACGCGGTCCGATTCGATCATTACCCGTTCCGATCCGATCCGATTTGCCGATTCGACGTGGGCTGCTTCTGCAGGTGGGGGAGCATCGGCGAGGGCCGGCGGCGAAACCCGAAACCCGCCCTCGCCGATCCACGATGCAGGCAGCGTGGTGGGCGGCGGGGGGCAGGGCTCGGAGTGCGTCGAACGAGTGGCGACGTCCGAACCCTTCCCCCTCCGCCCATCGACTCAGCAGATTCTCGGATGATGGGGTCTACCATAGGTCGGAGAGGGAGGAGGAGGAGGAGGAGGAGGAGGAGGAGGAGGAGGAGGAGGGTGAGGACCTCCTCGTCCTCCCATCTCCCCCGTCCTGCACATGGTCGTGGATGTGGAAAAGTTGCCAATCATCGGATGCAACTCCTAGGAGGTCAAATTCAGATTTTGCCCTGGTCCGAAATCCGGGTCGACCCGGCTTCAGCTGCTTAATCCCGCTCAATCCCGCCCAATCTGGCGCAATCCCGCTTCATCCGAGGCCCTTTCTGGCGTAACAGGGCCCCCAATGTGGCTCAATCCTCCGTAATCCTTCTGACGAAGACCTCCCAGTAGTTGCCTCCTGACATCGATTCAAGAGAATCGATGGTTGGTGGGGGGGAGGGTGGGGGTGTCGCCGCCCAGAGGGGGGCGGGCGGGGGCCAGGGCCGCCCCCGTCTGCTGCGCGCTGGCTTCCGCGGGGAGGCCGGGGAGCAGCGCGCGGCCCCGCGGCTGGGTGCGCGGGGGTCCGCATCCGTCGCGCCCCGCTCCCCCTCGTCCAGGGCTCCCCCCCCCCTCCCTACATTTACACCATGCGAATACTGCAGCGGGGCCCATGCCAAGAAGCACCCTGCTCGCCTCCAGGGTGCCCTGGGTTTCCTCTGGGGTTCGATGGTTTTGCAATGGAGTGCGTGGCGTTCCCGCACCAAAAATCAATGGACGTCCTGGGGTCTCAGGGTTGGGTTTCTTGTGGGAGGTTTCTTGTGGTCGGACCTCCACTGTATGAACACTACTCTCCTCTCTCCCCTGATGGCGTCCAGAAGATATCCGGCCCCCCTCCGCGTATTGTTTTTAACACGCAGGATTCCCGGGAAACTGGTTGTCGCTTGGGTTATTCTTCAAATTGATGTTCCCGCTGAAGCGCTGGCCTCATTTTCGGGCTTCTGCTTGTTCCGAATCGTGCTCCCGCTGTAGTGCTGGCCTCATTTCCGCACTTTCGCTCGTTCCGAATCGTGCTCCCGCTGCAGCACTGGCCTTCCAAAAAGGCACCAAAATCTAGAAACGCCCCCCCGAAAAAACCATCAGGAGTGATAACACATTCTATGCCGATTCGTTGGTTTTTTGGGCCGCAGAAGCCCCCCCCCTTCCACTTTGGGGCGTAGAACCTGGCGCCATGCCATGACATGCTGTGGGGTGTTGTGTTCTGCGCCGCTGTGCGATGCCATGCTTTGCATTGCAATGCTTTGTGCTTCACTGCGCAGTGCCACGTCACGCTATGGCATGCTACGCCCTGCCGTGCTCTTCTACGCCATGCCACGCCGTGCTCCACCATGTATCGCGTACCCTCTCGCGATCATTGCCTTGCTCGACATCCGACTGTGCGAATAGAGAGGATATCTACGCCATGGTAAGGGGTGGGAGGAAGGAGTAGGACGGCAGGTATGAAGCGAGCGCACCGAGTTTGTTCCCTCCCCTCCTCCCCATCCCCCTTCCCCGTCGATCCTCCCATCCCCTCCCCTCCTCCCTCCCCCTCTTCACCGATCCTCCTCGGTCCTCCTCCCCATCCCTCGTCCTGGGAGTGAATTCTAGGCCTCATAGGTGGGGTCGGAGCTGATAGGGCCCAAGGATCGCGCCGCAGCGCCGATGCATCGGCGATGCGGCTCGACGTGGAACCCGTGATTCCCCACGCCGACGTCGGCGATGCATCGCCGACGTCCCCGATGCATCGCCGGTGCATCGCCGATGCATTGCCGATGCACTGGCGATGCGGCGAAATCCTTCGACCCCATCCACTCGGATCCCATCTGGGAGGCCTCCGCTAATCCCTGGAGGGGGAGGGCTCCTGCCCCTCGGGGAGGCCCCAGCGTCTGGAACCCGCTCTTCACGGTGGCCTCCGCCGCCCTGTCGGCCGCCGCCGCGCGCCACGAGGCGCGCCCTCCTGCGGGCGCCCGGGGGAGAGCGGGGGCTCGCACTTCGCAGCCGGGAGCTGCAGCTGCCAGGCGGCGCTGACCACGGAGCGGTATAGTTAAATCGGGCCTGTCTCTCTACAGGAGGACTATTCAAACATTGTAGAAAACTGTCTGGGGACCATCTTGTGATTATCTGTTCTGCTTAGTTTGCGGTATTGTTGGCTTATTTTTAATATTTCGCCCGAAACCCGCTTGTAGGGGTACACGCCCGACCTAACAGTATCGCTAAGTGAATATTTTTGGAAGTTCATTTACGCATGCTATATAATCCATTGTTTGATGGCCACTAAACGCTGCGAAAGGCCAATCAAGTGCTGTTGACGGGTAGTTTAAAAGATAAGCGGTGTTTATCTAGTTGATTGTAGCGATCTCTCGATTCAGGGAGTTAGAGGTCGCGTGCAGTTTTCCTTTCACGATCCGAATCTCCTTTCGTTTTCTTTTTGTTTTTGTTGCTCCCTGCCTGGCGAGATGTGCGCGGCCTCGGCCTGGAGGCTTCTAGACGGCGACGAACAGCCACGGCGAGTGACACACTAGCCGACAGCGGCCACTAAAGGCTACTAGACCGAGGCGGTGCATGCTAGAATAAGTTTCCCAACAGACTCACCTAATGACCCTATCCCCATCCCGATCCCCACCATTTGGGAATATGCATTTCGAAACCCGAAGGGAGCAGCCTGTATCCCCATCTAGGGGGTGTGCATCGGCCAGTGAGGCCCAGGTCACGCCTGTGGGATAGGGATCGGTTAAACAATGCTAAATCGTGCAGGCGAGGTAATCGTTTCTTTTCTTTTCAAGGCCAGAGTTACCAGGGCTGGGGGCAGTCAGGGGTAGCTACAGATTCGCGCCCCGGGGGCCCAGACCAGAGTCACCCAGGATAGCAGTTATCCCGGATAATTCG